TCCCTTGTCGACCCCACCAGATCCATTTATTCAATGCATCCGCGCCTCTCGTACCTCATGTCTTTTAGGACTCATCAATGGCCATAGTTGCTCTACATTGCTCTCAAGGTTCCCCGGAGTGACCATTCATACTAAATGGCTTCCAAAGTGTCTCAACGTGATCTACTCCGCGTGGTGGATGCAGATCCTCAGAAGAGCAGGTGAGTATCTCGTACTTGTCTTACCTGGGATTTTCATAACCCTCTTAGCGACTATCTTCTGACTTTAGTAGGACTCGCACGGCGCATCCGTCGCATTATGCAAGACCTAGCCTCCAGCTTTCCCCATCTTCCGCATCGACCAGGAGCTCCGCCTCGCAATGGTCAAATGGCTCAGGCGCATCACGGCGCTCTTCGGCTACATCCTATACGTCATTACATCAGCGCGAGTATAGCTTCGACACTGTACCTACCCTTACCAAGACTCCTTGGGAACTGTCTCGATCGAGACGGCCGTTCCCGCAGCGATCGGAACCCTCAAGAAGCTCCAATCATTCGACCGTACTACCAGCACATATTTTTGAGAATCTTCCAGAGGAAGTGTATCAGTGTATTGCCCAACAGCTTGAGCCGGCACACAAGACTGAGGAAATGGAACTTTGCTCTGCTTGCTACATGAAAGATCTGTATTCACTATGTTTAACGAGTAGGAAATGGCAGAAGAGCGCGCAAGAAGCTATGTGAGCATGACACGCATGTTTCGCAAAACACATGTCGTCTCTAACGAGCTGTTAGGTACCAAAAGGTCTGGGTGCCTCTGAGCGACCAGCCACTGCAGCCTAAAAAACTCAAGCTGAAAAGTTCCACTCGTCTAAAACGACTCTGTCGAACACTACACAAGAGACCACACATAGCAGGTCTGGTAAAGGAACTGAGGGTCTCCGCGCAGGACCGAGCAGTCTTGGAAATCATAGCCAAAGACAAGGATAGCGCATTCGAGCTTCTGGCATCTCTTGTTGCGGCATGTCCAAACTTACGGAAATTGACTGGGTTTTATCCCTCGTATGGACATATTGCAGATTCACTGGTGATTGAATTGCACAGAATAACCAAACTTAAAGAACGTGCATGGATTATAGGCCCCAAAAAACTCAGCCCGGCCCAGTCCATAATACAAGGAAGCGCGCCTCGGGGACTTCCTTCGCCAGCACAGACGTCTGCATTTGTCTCTCGACACGCGGGTTGGTCCTCGCTGCAAACACTCGTTCTTGGCTCAGATAATGGTCGCCTTGGGAGCGAAGTCATATATGCTACCCTACGGAGATTGCCATCGGTTAGACACCTTTGCGTCTCGAACTTTGTCGCCGAAGACTTCAATGACGACACCATCCAGGGCCTCCCGATCTTGTATTCCCTTCGCCTCGAAAACCTCCCTGGTGTTACAGACCGAGGGCTGTCTTATCTCTCCGAGCCACAGATGCTTCGTTCCATGCGCAAAATAATTTTCATCAACCTCGAATTTGTTTCGGCATCTCTCGTGTCACGCATTCTAACCAATGCGCGCTACCTCACGAAGTTTTCCCTCACTCAAGACAGTATGCCCGAACTACCTTTCGGCGCAGCGCTTTCTCAGCCTTTCTTCGTCTCTCCACGACTTCGCTTTCTGCACTGGGACATTCCCGAGCCCGGTGTCGCGCAAGACCTCCTTGCAGACTCCATCAAGGCTGGCGGCTTCCCTTCACTTCGGTTCATACGTGCCCCGGTTGATGAAGATGGCAAACTACAGCGATTATGCCGACCACTTGCTGAAATTGCGCAGCCCAGTGATTACGAAGTCGCCGTTGCGGATCTTTCTCAGACTGATCCCTCCACCAAAGCCGCCTCTGATCCCTACAAAACTCTCAACATCCGGAAACTGTCCATCGCGCGCCTTATGGCGCAGAAGCGCATAGAAGAGGCCAGGAAACGCCCGGCGGCTCGGGTGGTTGTCGAAGAGGAAGGTGTGGTGAGAGGCTCTCATACGTTGCGGAGTTATATGGGAATTCTGGGCAGCAAAATTGAATATATCTTGGAGCCAGACATTGATGGAGATGAGAAGGCTATTGCTGATGTAGGAGAGCTTCTGAGAGGTGATACTACCCTTGGCGATGAAACGTGCTCAGGAGCACCTTCTGGGAAAAGGGGAGGACATAGTACGAGGCGAAAGGAGAAGCTTATGGGACTGGAAACTCTATTCTGATGGTTATTTCCGGGTACAATTTTGCTCTACATTTTCTTGGCTATGATTTGATGATACCCAATTGAGCGTTTGCAGAACTTAGCGCTAGACAAGAATCTTGGATGAAATCGATGATCTGAATGAATAAGGAATTCGATGACAGAAAGCAGAATCGCTTCCATGCATTGCTAGTCTATATGCCAACCCTAGGATTACAACATTTAGAAGTCGAGCGCGCTCTCATGCGTAGAAGTTTGCGGTGTCTTTCTTCTTCGCCTGAACCTCCGCAATCGCATCCACGTAGTGCTCATGGCTGATCTTTCCTTGTCCACTCCTCAACGCAATCATACCCGCTTCCACACACACAGCTTTCAACTGCGCGCCACCAAATTCATCGGTACTTCTTGCTAGCTCGGGCCAATTCACCCTATCGTCAACCGTCATCTTCCGACTATGGATCCTCAAAATCTGTGCCCGAGCCTCTTCGTTCGGCAGCGGAAACTCAATTTTCCTGTCCAACCGCCCACTTCTTAGCAGCGCCGGATCCAGCACGTCAACCCGATTTGTTGCTGCCAAAACCTTGACCCGGTCGTCACTTGCAAATCCATCGAGCTGATTCAGCAGCTCTAACATGGTTCGTTGCACCTCACGATCACCGCTCTTTTCCGAATCGAAGCGCTTGGTGCCAACGGCGTCGAGCTCGTCGATAAAGATGATTGAGGGAGCTTTTTCCTTGGCGAGCGCGAAGCAGTCACGGACGAGCTTGGCACCATCACCAATGAACATCTGGACAAGTTGTGGGCCGGCGAGTTTGAGGAAGGTAGCTTCGGTTTGGGCGGCGCATGCTCGGGCCAGGAGGGTCTTGCCGGTACCAGGAGGGCCGTACATGAGTGCACCTGTGGACGGGAGATATTCAGTATTGTTTGCAATCAGAATAGTACCAATAAGGCGAAACAGATGGTATCAGTACCTTTGGGGGCCTTAATCCCGATTTTCTTAAACCTCTCGGCTTCTTTCATAGGCCATACCACGGCTTCTACAAGCTCCTCAATCTGCTTGTCCAATCCTCCTACATCTGTATATTTTTCTGTCGGCTTCTCGTCAACCTCCATTGCCTTGACTCTGCTGTCGTATTCAGCTGGTAATGTGTCCAGGATGAGATATGAGTCCTTATTCACACCTATGAGATCACCGGGTTTGAGTTTCTCATGATCAACGAGACCGATGAGAGGAAGGAAGATGGTTTGGCGCGTGGAAGTTTTGATGACGGCTGATTTACCGACTCGGGTGGCGTCGAGATCAATGTTTGCCCCTTCCTCCGCAGCTTCGGCGGTCACGTCCAGATCAAGAATTTCCACGACATTTCCGACAAGGTACGGTAATTGTCTGAAAGCAACCAAGATGTTAGCGACAGTTGCGAACTCTTCGAGTGATGACCCTTTGCCGGCAGCTTCGTAGCCAAACAAATAAATGAGTCTGCCGCTTACCGGTTGTTCTCGATCTTGTCCATGTTATCTTTGATCTTGTCGTTCATCGTTTGTCGCTCATGCGTCAATCGCTGGAATTCGCTCTTCATAATCCGTGTATCGTTTTCCAAGAGTCGCCGCCGAGCTATGATATCCCGTGTACTGGAATTGAGGATCTCCGCGTCGATAGGGTTTTCTTCTTTCTGCTCATCCTTCTTCTCACCATCCGCATCCTTCATTTCTGCGTCTCCATTTTCATTTGCCTTCTTGTCCTTGTCATCGCCCTCATCCTTTCTGTCCTTGTCTTCACGTTCGATATCATCGAGATCTTCTAATGTCGACATAGTGCAGATGGATTCGACTCTTGAGCTACTTCAAGGACGTATAAGGTGGTCTTCAGGGCTTCGATATGTATGGAAGTCGACTGGGGCCTTTTTGGAGCAATAGCGAGCTTGTTGATTACTGTGCAAAGTCAAGGCACCTACTGGGTGATGAATGCTTCTAGTTGACTAAGCAGGATAGCCTTCGGAGCTTCGGTAAAACTTATATCCGACCATAGTCGATTCCATCAAATCTCAGATGATTCAATCTCACCTTGACCTCTGAGCAAGTGCACTTTCGTGCTGCTACCTTGAGACGAAAACAGTGGATAGTATCACATTCTATTACTATTTGTAGAATTCTTTGGGGAGTATGTCGTCTGTCAGCGGTCTATGATCGCTAATCTAGCTATCCGTCGTAACATGTGGACTTTACTGCACGAGTACTAGATTTATTGAGGTTTACATGGCAAGTTAGAGTAAGATGGCACGCGGTTGTCAGAAAAACCCGTACACCAAAACTGGGAGGTGGTTTATACACAGTAGACAGAAATGTCATGGACTGAAGGTCACGTGCCTAGGATGAGATGAGAGGTCATGTGATATGTCACATGCTTCTGCGCACGGACCCATGCGCAGCTGTATATAGACGGCGCTGCCCGCATGTCCGCACGAGGTAGCTTTACTAGCTCCAGATACTCGTTCATATCTACGCTGCATGCTTTCATCTCATTTAGGCTAGGCTAGGTCCCTGACAGAAAAGATCATATATGTACATTAGGCTTATCTGCTATTATAAAGTTACCAACTTTTAGACTCAAGAAATTATTAAATAACAATTTATATTTTATAAAAGTAGTTTATAAACATGGCTACTTTTTTAATAAGGCACCTCCCAGTTTCAGTGTGCGGATTTTTTTGTTAACCGCATGGATGGCCGTTTAGACAAAGTTAAGATGAGGAGTAATTTTTGGTATGTTGGTATATACTGTACAAGCTAAGTTATTTGACTTAGTTTGGCACCGTGGCCTAATGGTAAGGCGTTGCTTTCCGGTTATTCTCTTTCTTTGTATGGCAAAGATTGTGGGTTCGAGTCCCATCGGTGTCGGCTCTCTGTTTTGATCATCCGTTCGATGAAAGTTTGCTTTTTTGCTCCTAGACATTACAGTGTGAATTGTGACTTAAGACAGAGTCTATCTCTTTGGGGAATACTGCACTTAATTTTAAGAAGGTACCTTACGGCGGCTGGGGGGTTTCTCAACAGGTAATTAATATAATATTATTTCAACTTTATTACTATAACCTTATTAATCCATGTTAACACAGCCTTAATATGGGTTAATATGGTTATAACAGTTAAATTAAGATAAAATTGTATTAATTACCTATTAAGGAACCCCCCAGCTGCTGTAAGGTAGACTCTGCCGGAATTCAAAATTTTTGAAAGGAATTATGAAGTTAAGTCAATGTTTCGGATGTACGTGGGAACAAAATCCTTGTGGAAGTACGATTATCAATTTTACAGCGTAGTCCATGATTTTAAGAACAGTCTCTCATATGAAGGACGACATGAATTTTCAATCAGCAGCTGATTGGCCTTGTTCTTGAGCACGGTGGATGATCCAGGATTAAGATAGAGGTAATTTTTGCGGACTTGTTCAGTCACTGAGGAGTATAATGACGACAGAATCGTATATTATCCCTAACGAAAAGCTCAAGTCTCCTGTAATTTCTCGACACTTTCTTGTGATGCCACTCGCTTGACCGTTCTCTGCTCAAGCAGCAAGAATGTCACTACCAAAGTCTGGCCATCTTTTCCTTGTGTCAAAGGCAATCGGGTCTCCTCTTGCTTCCAGGAATTCCGTGCAGGTACTGTCGCGGAAAGCTTTACCCCCACAACAAAAATTCTAATGTCATAGAGATTCACCACCGTCTTCGTCATTTCCATAGTCCTGCCCGGTTACAAGTTGTGTCACCATCGCCACAAGCAACAGCCAGGAACTCACAACCTCGATCGCCACCAATTGTGAGACTCAGGATCTTAGCTTTACTCTTTATGAAATGGCTAACAATTACGAGGCTCCTCCTACGCATATCAGTTCAGCGGAATCAATCTCTGGAAAAAAAGCGTACTGGGATGGCAAGGCGCTCTACGCATTCCGTGACCGCCAATTTCAACCTCTGTATGCAGGCATAGATCCGTTAGTGATGAACAGACTTGCTGACAGCAGAGACCATCATTATGGCTAAGGTACGCTGTGTGCTGAATGCAACCTTGCCAAACCCAGTTCACTGACCCGTACCCGGCAGAGATCACTGTCAATGTGCTCTATGCTTCCATCTTGAAACAAAACAACGATTGTACAATACGTTCGAAGTGAGTGTACCCAGTTTGTCTAGAAAACTTTCCAGGGTGACAATGGCAGAACACAACGCCGCCTGAGATCAAATCATGTCAAGAGATGAACAACGGCTTCCAAATTGTTTGTAGGTTCAACGTCACCGACGTGCATTCTAAATCCGTTAAGGTCGTCTGATGTGTTACCCCATCAGGGCATGACGGTCATGAGAGCTTCTATGATCATGCTTGGTTACGTGAACAAGATGAGGAAAGGTTGACGCAAATACGCCAAGGCCGGCTTCCGTACGTGTTCGACCAGCTTCTTTTTGTCTAGCGACTGGGTCACTGATCTCAAGAGTTAAGAAATGTAAATCTTTGGGGCTCAAACATTCAGGATAGCCCACCACAGGTAGATTATGATGAGGTGATGCAAACCGAGGAAGGGGTTAAGAAATGGTGTAGTGAAATTGTGAGCACCTCACTCTCTGTCCTTAAAAGCATGGTTGCAAGATTATATTTTCCAGCTAAGTCCTAGTCCGAATGAATACAGCGTTTGCATGGCTTCAGCTTTGTAGACGGATGCCCCCCGACCCCCGAAGCTACCAAAGCCTTATTAGAAAGAATATCATTTATACGCCAGACACATTACGGTAGGTCATGAGATTCGACGACAGCATAAAGCACGTCATGCTTTGCTGACTTTACTCTGAGGCGGATACTGGGAGGTCCTGAGCGAGATGGCATCCATTGATACTGCCTATACGAATCTTGCTTTGGAAGCCCACACAGATACGACTTACTTTTCTGATCCCGTCGGACTCCAGATGTTTCATTTGCTCTCCCACGAAGGCGGAAAGGGCGGAGAATCTCTGCTTGTCGATGGCGCGGCGGCTGCAGCAAAGTTATTTCAGAAAGACCCTGAAGCATACAAGCTTCTGAGCGAGATAGCTGTCCGTCACCATGCCAGTGGTGACGATGGCATCAACTTCACATCGTATCGCGGGTTTTCTGTCCTTGAACATGATCTAGAACAAGGCCATTTGCTTCGTATTCGGTGGAACAATGCCGATCGAGCAAGCATCGAATGTCCAATGCATATGAAAAGCAGATGGTATGAAGCAGCAAGGTAAGTCGTCAGAGATTTCAATGTCACAATTGGCCTGAGTCGAGCACCGATTTTTGTATGGCCGGTGTTAGAGGGCTGGTCCATTTGATGAGATTGACTAATGTCCTCCAAGAATGTTCAACCAGATAATTTCCGATGAGAGATCGCAGTATTGGTCTAAGTTACTACCAGGGAGGCCTTTAAGTAGGGCCTACTTCTCCTTTCGATGAGAAGAACTTACTGATTTTGAAAAGTCTTCGATAATTGGCGCGTACTGCATGGAAGAGCAGCTTTTACTGGCAGAAGGCGCTTAGGGGGTGGCTATAGTAAGTTCTGCATTCTCAGGACCTGAATGCTGGCTAACTAAATTGAAGTCAATCGTGACGATTTTGTCTCTCGTCTCAAGATGTTAGAGTATGGCAAGGACAAAGTCCTGGCCGCAACTGTGACAGGTTAAGTCAATATGCCAACCCGGCCACGTGAACGATCTGAAGGAGGCCTGCACAGCGTTGAAGGACACTGGTGTTGTTGTCATGGAAGAGATTTCATCATGACCTATAGCTTGCTTTTTGCAGCAACAACCTTCATCTTTGCCCGTCCATTACTTAAGCAGACTTTTCCGCCCTCAACGCTCGTAACAAACCTGATTTCTTCCCAATCTTGGCCATCCCTCTCGCCCGTCCGCCAAATCTGTGTCACTAGCTTGTCACCCGGCTTGACTGGGGAAGCAAAGCGTGCCTGGAATTCTTTGATGTTTGTTGGGTCACTGCCTCCGAGCTCCTTGAGAAGGCCATGGCATGTTGTATTCCACGAAAACAGGCCGTGCATGATAGCACCACCAAAACCCATTTTTTGACCCGGTTCTGGCGTTGCATGAAGTGGATTATAATCTCCATTCAACCTAGGGTCGCGTTAAGCAAACTTCGCTCTCGTGCAAGGTCCTTGCAAGTTCCGTCCACTTACCGGTACAGTAGCGCCGACTCATTGTTCGTCTGGAGGGTATACACCGCATCCGGTTTCTTATTCTTGGGGGGCAAGAAATTTGGCGTACTCGGGCCTGGAGCATCACCGTGTTATTTTCTCCTATTCTTGTGATACTCCATTCGTCCTTTTTCGCGCGCTTACCCTTTGGACCGCCCCAACCGCCCTGGCCCACGAAGAATCCGCTTCCCGTTGCTCGTGTATACACCTCCCCAGTCCCCTTCTCCACCAGCAGGTTTTCGGTTTCTACCACTGTACCTTTTCCCTTATCATATACTCCGAGCACCTTCGCCCTGATCTCAAACTGTCTCCCCTCACTGCTCACAGGCAGAGGTTTCAAGAACTCAATTTTGCGCTCGCCATCGACGACGCGCTTGCTGTCCAGTGTTGGAACTCCTGGAATTGGATTTTGCCTGGAGTAGGAATAGAAGTCGAGAACTTCCTGCGAAGTGCCGCGGAAAGGGAGGATAATGGCATAGGTAGGGAAGACGGAGAAGTCGGGATGAAGTTCCTAGAGAGCGGCCAATTAGATTGCTTGTGAAGAGACATAGGAAGGGCATGGAAATGTTTACATAGAGAAAGTGCAGCTCTTCAGCTGTGCAGCCTATGCTGTTAGCAAAGAGAAGGACATCTCTCTTGAGCCATGAGACTGGCTTGGAAGGGTATTCGAAGCCTGCACCTGGAGTGCTCATGATTGCCGTGTAATGGAAGTCTTGAACATGTAATTGCGCACTAGGGGAATGTCATGAATCAAGGGTTATATGAATCAGACTTAAGCAGAATCGGATGATTACAATCTCAGGGTAGGCGATGCGGGGAGCTGGTCTGTAGAGTAAAATCTGGGGAGAGCTCCGTCGCTCGCCGAATCTTGCCGAGGCCTAAACCTCAGCATGAGAGGGTGAAAGATTCGTCACCTTCCAGATTACTCATTGCTTATCACTGTTGTTTTCTTTCCAATACATGCTATCCAATAATTGGGCCTTCCCAATCAGTATGCAAAATGTTTTACAGGGTCCCATCTTGCACCATATACACGCAGCTTCCACTTCCCGGTCTGCTCACTACGATTGCTTCTTCTAACCGCTCAGGCGTCATGTCCGAGAACCTCTTCCTGTAGTACTCTCTCTCCCATACCTCTTTTACCTTGTCCACTTTATCTGCAGGCACGAGGTGCACACTACAGCCACCCCAGCCGGCACCCGTCAAGCGACTCCCATACGCTCCTGCGCCTCTCGCCAACTTGCAGAGCTCGTCAATTTCAGGACAACTACACTCATAGACATCGCGACAGGAGTCCTGCGTCTCGTTCATGAGATCACCGAGCTGTTTCATCAGCGCCTTCGAATCTGTCTCGCCGTCTGAAGTGGTCGGTGGCTTGAGGAGGAGATCCATGAATTGAAGAACACGCAAGGCTTCGGTGAAGACGTGTAGAGCTCGTTGACGAAGAAGGAACTGCTCTGCTCGGACCGGAAATGAAGACAGGAATTGCTTCTCTACACCTTCTTTGCTGATACCAAGGATTTGGGCGATCTCATCCCGTGTGTATCCGCCGGTTTGGGGAAGGTAATTGTCTGTCAAGTCAATGAGTGTCTCCAACTGCTTTTGTAGGTCTGGGACAGATGTCTTGGAATTGTCTTTGATCCCTTCCTTGTCCTCAAAGTACGTGTCGTGGAACCCTTTC